GTACGTAATTCTTTTATTTACGAATTTAAAAGAATGGTTAACTATCTTGAATAAATCTATCATTACATCGACTAGGGACAAGAAGATGGTCAATAGTCTCTATCGTTACACGTGCTTCTCCTTCTACTTCTATCAACCACCTCACCTCTCATCTACTCCTCCGCTACTCTCACCTAAAATCTTGTCAAAATAAGCTTTGACTACGGAATCCAAGAGCTTGGGAGAAGGCAGTACATTGTTGCAAGTTACCACTCTCACAAAGGTTCATCAATCTTTTTAAGTCATTTGAACATTTGATCATTAAATGATAAATTATTTTATTCATGTAGATCTTATATCGTTCTTAAGTGCTATTAAAAAAATTTAAGAATCTTTTTCAAAATTATCAAGATTTGAAAAGGGAAATAACTTGGCTTCTCAAGATTGAGGAGGAAGGTCCTCGTGTGTGGTCTACTAACATATAGACAAATGTTTTTTTAATTATTTATTATCTTTTAATATCTCATCAATATCTCCTACATTTTCTCTTCCACCCTACATGTCCCTCCTTTTTTTCTCTTTTGCAATCTTCACCTTCTTTTTTTTAATTTACTTACTATATTTTTTAAATCGAATTTACTATATTTTGTTTTCCAAATCTATTGTATTTTTTTTACTGTATCTCTTCCATACTATTTCAAAAATAATATTTTTTTCATTGTTACCAAAAAAGAAATTTTGGTATTTTTTTCACAATGTAAAAGTACATAGAGCAGAAAGTTGAACTTTAAAAAAGAAAGAAAAAAAAAATGTTATTTCGTTTATCTTTTTTCCTGATATTTTTTAAATACAAAAGATACATTACAAAATTTTTGAAAAGTATAATTATTAAAACCACTTTTTACTATTTCAAAAACCTTGTCAAATTCATGCTAATCAAAATTTGACTAACATTTTTTTCGACGAGGAGCGCATATATAATTTGAACGAAAAAATTAGATTCTATCCATTCAATGGACGAAATTCTTGAATTGTAACTCAAATTGAATGATAAAATTTTTACTTTTTCAAAGAATTGAAGACTTGGGAAAGCTACGTAACATTAAGAGAAAAAGTTTGATTATAGTTGGAACGTCATGGAGTTTGGAAAACTTCTCAAGGAAGTCTTTTTTCTTTTTTTTTTTTGCATGATTTGAATTGCAATTAAATCAAAGTGTGGTAGATATAAGTCATTTTTAAGACATAGGAGATTTGGAAAAAGTGAGACAATTGGAACATGTGTCAAATGTACAAAAATTTCTCTTCAATATGGTGGGTATATTGTCATCATCTTCAATCATGGACCCTAAACTAACTTGACACCATCTTTTACTAAATTCTAGGAGGATGATTCTTCAATTATGTGACTTTGATTCCTTTACTAATCATACACAACTCCCAAGTCAAATTGATGTGGTTGATAGATTACATTTGGATCTCTCTGTTCACGCTCTCGTTTTCAAATTTTGTATGTGATCTTTTAAAAGTTTCAATTTCTTCTCTAATATTTCAAAAAATATTAGTTAAATGTCTACTTTACTAACGTGAATGGTGACTTTTTCTTTCCAAAAATAATCAATTAAGTTTCGACCTTGTCCATGGTTAGATTTTCAGATATATTGTATGGAAATTGGAATGGCCTCTCATTTCTTCTTATTTTAGTAATTGAGATTGAGTTATATTTAAGGTAAGATTTGTTTGAGTTTTTAATCAATGGACCGAATAAGGTGATATTTAACACCATTGTTTTAAATATCTATCGACATGTCCATGTATCTATAGGTTCGACATTGACATGAGGGGTAAATCGACATTTCCATAATATTACAAAAAAAATATAAAAATTATCAACAAAATTTCACTAATATAGACATAATATTAATTTTGATCATTTTTAACATATTTAGTAATGGTGAAACAACTATTTATTAATTTAAATATTTTTTTCGAGTTTTTAAACTACACTTACTATATGATTAGGAGCATATAATATGTGTTTTTTTTTTTTTTGAGTACAACGTATCGGGATGGAGAATCGAACTTACAACCTCTTGGTTAGAAATATATGTCAATTACCGCTGAGCTAAAACATATACCAATAGTAAAATTCAAAACTTATATGGTGATAAAATTATTTTATAGATCGAATATTATGGCCGACTTCATTTATTTCTAAAGAATATGAAAGAATTTATGATATGGTCCCATTTTTGGGTCATAAGATAAGGGTGGCTAAGCTTTCTCTCAAAAGTTGAATTTGAATTATCACCAACTACCATTAGCCATCTTCATCAAATAAGACACATAAAACAAGATTTAAGTTTGTTAATGAAAAACAAACAAAAAGAGAGCTTATCTAAAATACCAACCATAGATCACTATTTGAACTATAGTCTTCTTGTTCGGACTCCAACTTTATCTTAAATTATTTTTATTTTATTTAATATTTGCCATACTTATCATGATATATGATGTAACTATAACGACTCTACTTTGGTTAATGAAAACGATTAGATGTTGATTAAATATGCACCATAGGATATAAATTAATTAAACGATGATCTGATGTCCTAGCTCAAATTATTTATATTTATTATTTAGTTTCTACTTTGTTTTAGTACAACATGTGAAAGTGAGAGATTCAAGCATTCGACTTTATGATTGAGGATATATGCTTTAACCAGTTTAGCTATGGTCAGGTTAATGATTATTTTTCTATTTAGTCACTATAAACATCGTTAAATGAGGGTTGAGGTGACTTGTTAGAGAATTTGTTTAAGAAGGTGTGATATAGGTGATAGATGAACAAACTAATGAGCATGCCTAATATATTAACATATCAATAATGGTGTTAACATGTCGAGACTAAATAGAATCATAATATAAAGCCCAACTTTTAAGTTTAAAGACGAGATAGACACAATGTTTAAAGTAGAATGACTAAATTTATTAATTTAACCTAAAATTTATTATGGAGCTCTATTTTTTTCCCTTCACTTTACCTTTTCCTAAATTGTATTATTAAATTTTAATGGAATTGTGTGTCATGTATGTCAATTTAAAACATTTTCAAACCATGTGGGTATAATCTACATATTTTGCAACTCTTATAGGTGCAATTTGTGATTCTCTCTATAAAATAATTAGCGAACTTAACATGTACAAAAACATGTAGGGTCGATCGGTATTTAATAGTTATTTAATGTTTAATACAAAAACAAATTATTGAATTGGTTTTCAAGTTAGGTGACATGTTGTATAATTTAATATAGACTATGTTACATTATGTCACTTCATTTTATCATTTTGTATTAGCTTCAACTACATAAGTGATCATACTATTAAAAAATAAAAATTGATTAAACTATTAAGGGATTGTTTTTGTTTTGTTCCATATATATGTACTCATTTTGGCTAATCTCGTAAGCCAATTGCATCAACCTTCCTATCCAATATGCTAAAGCCACTCAATTAATTATTCAAAAATCATCTAAAATAATGTACATATCCAACATCTGACACATACATTGTTGACATATATTTATAATGTGCATATTCAATGGTTAAATAATATATATGTATAATGTACAAATTTGATACTTACAAACAAAATGTTAATTTTTTTCTTGATGAACCTGTCCAATGAAACAATCCCAAACAAATTGTTAAATATATTAATGAATTTAAATATATTAAAATGAATAGAAAATCTATAAAGCAAATGTATTTATATAGTATATTATGTACATTAAAATACATATCTGATACAAAACTCCTCATAACAACCAATTTCCACTTTTTTTTAGTACGTTAGTGATTTTTTAACCTACTACCTTCTGGTTAGAAATATATGTTTTAATCAATTGAGTTAAATTCAATAGATTAACCAATTTACATCATTTTTTAATTAATAATAAGTATCCATTGTTTATAATTAAATATAATAATAAAAATTTTAAATAAAAAAAATTATCATAATGGTTAATTAAATTATATAGAAATTTAATATAAAAATACAATTAATAATTTTCCCATTTAATATCATAGTTAAAACAATCAATATTTAACCTACTGGTAAGGTGAAGGGCAGAATATACAATAAAAATGCATAAAATAATAAAATATATTAAATGATAATTTATATAATTTCTTTAAGAGTGTGGCTATTTCTTAAATGGCTATTTGAGATTTTTTTTCCCTTTTTTTCCTCTTTTGTGTGTGTTTTTCTAATTAAGGGTATTAATGGAAGCCCACAAAGATCAGCAGATCTGATTATTTGGGCTTCCTCAACTGTGAGCCTTTTGTGAATGCATTTGGTTGGGTGACACTATAATTTGATTTTCCGAGAAGGTTTAAGAAAGTATAAGACTATTTCACCCTCAAGTGTAAACCAATAGGTTAAAGTCAATTTAATTATAGTTCAATTCTTTTACCTCACCTAAGATTTTTGAATTTAACCTAAATTCTGTCAATTTAAACTAACATTTGAATAAATTGTGCAATTTAAACTCTACTAAATGGTACAATTAATGTCTCAATTAGTTAAGTTTGCTTTTTTTAAGATGTGCGACTAACGTATAGTTGAATGAGGCTTTTCGGGTACTCATTCTTCTAGTTGTATTAGATTTTTCTAAGGTGAATTTACCGCAGCTTTTACAAAAATGTCAATTACTTTAAAGTCGCTCTTTAAATTAACTCACATCCAACTCCGAGTAAACATGAAACTCTACCTTTAATCGTATTACATTCTTCCCAAGATAACAATATACAACAATACACATCGAACATTATGAATTATAAAATAAAACCACATTCTGATGGGTAAAATCCCTTCAATTCAATGGTCACATAACCATCGGATAAAATCAACCTAAAGAATTACATGTTTTTCTTTCCTAACCAAAACAAAACCTTAAATAATTACGTATTTTTTCATCCTACAGCCTCAAACCAATGCAACAAAAAACCGACAAAGAAAACTATACCACAAGGATCAAAGTCTTGTTCCTTTTCCCATCTTATATCACTTAACTGATTATCCTCTTATGTAGCTCAAGCAGGGTTTCAACAACACTAACATTGTACAAAATATTGCAAATAAGTTGGATAAGGGAAAAGAGTTTGAAATAACACAAGCAAAAAGATTCAGACAAAATCATGTTGTTAGATTGAGGATCAATGAGGGAGCAACCCAAGAATGAGATGGATGAGTATGCATGTTGCCCGACTAGCAGAAGTGTCGAACGTATGAGGGGCGGGAGACGGTTTCTGACAATCAATCTCGCGTTTATGAACAGTGCACGTAGACGTCGTTATAACTTAGAGGACTGCTAAATTGTTGTAGGTGTGAGTGTGTGTTGTATCGGGTTAGTTCCGAACTTCGAATAGCTGAGGTTAAATACTGTAGGTGGGTAAGATGCCATATGAATAACTAAAAAGGTTAGTTCATGAACCCTGCTGGAGTTCCATAATATTTGGTTCATATCCATACGATCTTAACAATTTCATCAATCCCTTTAAGACTCCATATATTTCCTTGCTCTGAGAATGCCTCTCATCTAAGGAATAAAACTCAACCACGCTATCATTTACCTCAATCAAGCTACATCCTGGCAACTTTTTGAACCCGGTGTCCCTCATTAAAATCTTCAACCGTGCAACGTCTTTCCATCTACTAAGATCTCCATAAATATTCGATAGCATGACGTAATTTGCAGGGTTTTTGGGTTCGAGCTGAATGAGTTTCTGAAGAGCTAATTCTGCCAAATCAATGTTTTTGTAAGTCCTGCACGCACCTAGCAGGGCAGCCCAGATGACAGCATCTGCTTTGATCGGCATCCTCTTCACGAACTCAATTGCCCGGTCCAAAAGACCAGCTCGGCCAAATAGATCGACCATACAACCATAATGCTCAATCTGAGGATCAATGGAGTAGTCATGGACCATTGAGTTGAAATATGAGATGCCTTCTTCAACTAATCCAAGATGAGTACAGGAGCACAATACCCCAATGAAGGTGATTCCATCCGGTTTTTTGCCAGAGTTCTTCATCCGGTGAAACAAATTTAACGCATCCGCCCCACATCCATGAGTTGCCAAGCCACAGATCACAGAATTCCATGAAATAAGGTCTTTTGAATCCATGCTCCCAAATACTTCCATTGCATTCTCTATCACACCGCATTTTGCATACATGTCTATCAATGCATTTCCAACATAAATGTTTCTTTTAAACCCGATGGTCGCAGCGTATACATGCACCCACTTTCCCAAATCAAGAGCTCCCAATCTCGCACAAGCAGACAACACAGTCACAAGGGTGGCATCATTGGGAACTACCTGGCCATCGAGTAGCATCCGTTTGAAACAACTCAATACATCAAAGAAACGCCCATTATGAGCATACCCTCCAATCAATCCATTCCAGGAGAAAACATTCCGCTCGGGCATCTCTTCAAACAGATGCTCGCAAGCCTCAACGTCCCCATTATTTGCATAACCACTCAACATTGTATTCCAAGACATCACATCACGGTACGGCATTGCATCAAACAGCTTTCTTGCTGCCTCCATATGCCCTATTTCAATATAACCAGAAACCATAATGCTCCACAGCACAACATCTCGTTCGGGTGCCAAGTCGAACAGCCGCCGTGCAAATGTCACATCATTGCACAAAATGTAGCCACTGATCATGGAAGTCCAGGCTACTATATTTCTCTCAAGCATTCCAACAAACACCTTGTAGGCAGACCCAATTGCCCTCCCACCAGAGTACACATCGATCAGAGTAGTAGCCACGAATTGGTTCCCTCTAAACCCACCCTTAATGACCTCACAATGAATCTCCTCCCCTTCCACGAATGCATTGATTTTGGCACAAGATTTGAGAACAAGAGGGAACGTGAAGCAGTTGGGTCTCACGTCCGTGCTCTTCATTTTCCCAAACAAAAGAACCACTTCCCTGTAAAACTCGTTGTGGGCATACCCTCTGAGGATTGAATTCCAGAGCGCCACTTTTGGGTCAGGAAAATGATCGAACAGATGGCGGGCATAAGCCATTCGCTTGAGATTAGCCCACGCAGACACAACATTTGGGGCTACATATTCATTGTGTTGAAACCCGTGGGTAATTATCTGGGCTTGAACTTTCTCAAGAAGCGCCACTGTCTTACATGATCGTAACAGAGAAATGAAGTGGTCTTCAAGAACTCTGTGGGGCTGCTTCTGGACTGAATCTAACAAAAGCTTCGCTATTTTTCCCGAAAAAATGAACACAATCTCAATTAAACTATGCAGCTAAATCCAACAAAAATTGGAAAAATTTTCAAGCTTCTGAGTAGGATTGAAAACTTCAACTTCAAAAGTTTAACCGATACGTATAGAGACAGAGAGGAGGAACCAAAATCGATTGAACCGTCACTGGCCTTCTTGGACGAACGGATTGAAATCTAGCCCGAGAGAAAAAAGGGACTGTGTGTTGTTATCTAAATTATATGTTGATTTCAAATCTGCTCCAAGTTCAAGACGTTCAATTCAATCTCAAATCTTTGGACTTTTTTCGAAAGCAAAAACAAAAAACAGATAAAAAGAGAAAAACTCTCATTGGCATTTTGTTTTATTATTTTTTTTTGGTGATAAAATTAAAACTTTTAAAATCAACCTTTTATATAATTTCATTGGTTTCAATTTGGTTGAATTATACAAAATTAGTTGAAATTGTAGTTTCAAAAGTTTTATTTCTACCCTCATCAACTTTTAAAATTGTTTTAAAACAACGTTCCGTCGACCTTTTTGTTAAAAAGAACACGAAAATGTGGCATGGCGATGAGTTGTAAAAATAGAAATACACATAAGTATTATAATTTAAATTGGGTTCCTAAATTTTGACAGTACTACAGAAGTATGGATACTCATTTCATTCTTTGCTTACTATGCTAGGGTTGTATTAAAAATAATGTGTCATCTATCAAAATTAACTCATGGTGTGATCCCATGTATTTCTATTTTTACAACTTACAGTTATGTTACCTCGCCACCACATCACATTTCTTTCTTCTTTCTAACTGACATCATTTTGAAATAAATTTTAAAGCGGTTGAGTCAAAATGAAACTTTTAAAATAATAGGTTTATAATTAAAATATATACCCTAAAGTACAGTGACATTTGGTATAATTTAATCTTTCAATTTTGCCGCAAATTTGTTGAAAGTTAAAATTCAATCGCAAACCTTTTTAATTTGTTTTTTTAAAGAAAACTTTCATTAGCCAGTTTTTCCTTGCTATCTTGACTTGACCTGCAACACAACTGCTATAAAATTTTATTTGTGATAAAATTATAACTTCTAAATATATAATTTAATTAGTTTTAATTTAAATTTGTCGAAAATTTTCTGGGAACAATTTTCTCTTAGCAAATTAAAATTTAAGGGTAACTAACTACCTAAAGGAACTTTTGTATAATTTAAGGACTTTTTTTTAGTAATATCATATCAAGCTAAGTCCAAATTAGAGGGATTAAATCGGAACTATGTCCACTGTAAGATCTAAATTGATAGTTTAACCAAAGTACCATTGCAAGAGTTTTTCTATAAATAATGTAGTTTAAATAAATAAAAATAAGATTAGATTTTTTAAAATATTGGCTGGTAAATGTTAAGAGTAATCGCTAATGCACCAGCCCAAAAGCCCAATATTGTAAATCTGTGTAAAAGCCCAATATTGTTAGAGGTCCAATAATCTCTATATATATATGACCTTTAACTCATTTGTAAACGTATGGATGGAGAAATAAAACAAATCCATCATTGCGTTCAAGAAAGTGTGTTTGTTCTCTGTAAAAATTGCACATGAAGATTACAATTATATTTAAAGCATAAATCACGAGACCGACTTGGGTATGACTTTACCATAATCTCAAATATTACGTTACTAGGTGGGGACGGTTGAGAATCTATATATAAAAATTAAATTTATCAAATCGATCAACTGATTGAGCAGTGATTTATTCATCCATGTATGAGGGAGAGATCTTGTGTTGTTTAATCCTATTACACTCCTACCATTTCATCAATCTCATTCTCATTCTTTATTTTGTGGGCTCCACGTATATATTTATTAGGCTCATACATTTTTTAATTTTAATTTCTTTTTACTTTTATAACTTCTTCTCCATTTATACTTCCATTTTTATTAGTTGATGTAATTTTATTATATAATATTGTATTTATAATTAGCTAAAAATAAGAAAGGAGTATACTAATAATTGTAATATATATGATTTCGATTTTGATTTGAAACAGTTTTATTAAATAACATTAAAGGAATTTTTATTACGATTCCAAAAAATTTTTGCTAAATAATATCACAGAATAACGTTTTCATTCTAATTGATTTTATCACGACTCATTCGGATTCCTGATAAAAACAATGCTATGGTTAGAATTTTGTTTTTCAACCATATTAATTTTTGACCTTCTAAGTACGATAATCTATTTTCCTGACACGGGGTGATTGGAATTTGGAAGCATTCATTGCCACTGCCAAACCTCCCAAATGTGTGTCAGATGAGCCCAGAGAGGAATGATAGCATACATGCAGATGCAGGAACGCCAATAGAACTCGGAACACCAATCGTCACAGTCAATCCACATCGACCACGTGGAGCTCAGTGACTGGGCGTTCAGTCACCATCGGGTCACATTAAGGTATCCGGGACTGGATATACTTTATGCCTCTGCAACCCCATAGGCCCAGCAGCCCAGAAACTGTCCATCTTTCCACTTTCCCAACGCGCCGCGTCAAAGCGTGGATATTCAAATTTATAAATAAAATTAATTCGACTAAATAAAAATTATTTTATTTTATTTCATCATTCCTCAATTCTCAAAATTAGTTAATTTTAATTTTAGGCTCTTAAAAAAAATTCATTTTAATCTTTAAACTTTAAAAAGTAATAGTTTTAGTTCTTCCTTTTTAAGATAATTTTTTATAATATATCCAATGAGTTGATCTTTAATCTTTTAAAATATTTTATTCTTGATCTATTGTAATTTTTCGATTAGGTATGTTAAATTTTGTTAGTGAAAATGTGATGTGTATTACATTATAGTTTTATCAATATAATTAGATATCGGCCTCTCACAGCATTTTGATAAATAGGAAAAATTTTGTTGATGAATAGGTTAGATTTCATGTGTTAAAGTAACATATAATTGGTATTTCAACATTTTAAAATAAGTTATTTAAACAATAATTTAGTATCTATATTTTTTTGTTGACAATTTTTATCAATTTTTTTTATAAAATGACTTAATTTAGAAGTTCTAAGAATAAAATTGAAACTTCCATAAATTGAGAATGAGAATATTTTGCCTTCATAGAATTTACTCTAGTTCGTTGACACGTATGAGCTATTTCAAAAAGAAATAATAATTAAAACTATTTATCTTTGTTTTTATATTTTTGACGAACGTAATTTTCTAGATACCTTTATATTAATAGATTTTCTCAATTGGCTGTTCATAAAAAACAATTTTATTTATTTTCTAAAAACATTTTGTAAACAATGATTCAAGTTTATTTCTCAGGTTGTTAATCAAATTTTTAAAGATGATTTGATACATGGAAATAGAAATCACATCCACACAGTCTCTTATTTAACAAATGTAAAATTCTTTTTTCATTTTTTTTTTTTGAGAATTAACAAACGTTCATAATGAATCTTTTAATGTGAGGACATTAAAAATATAAAAATATTGTGCTCTTTTTACTTTTAATTTAATATTTAAAGGGTTAATTTTACTATTCATTTAAACTTATGGTTTTATTTTATAAAATCAAAAGTTAAAATTAAGATTAATCGAACTAAGTAGGATGGTTCAAAAGTTAAAATTGCTGAGTTCCCTCTTAAAATGAAAAAAAAAGCTATTAAATTTGAGAAAAAATAAATTAGAAGTAGAATAATATTCTCCTCTTCTAGTTTTAGTGCAATGTCTTATGTTATTTATGTCATATAAATTTTGCAATATACATATTTTGCATCTTTATACTTACCTGAACAATTTAAATTTATTCTTAAAATATTGATTACACAAAATATAGTATAATATTTGAAACAATTAAGAATGAAGCATGTTTCAACCTAATTTCTACCCACTCTAATCTAACTACTCTATTTTGCTAATTGGTTCAAACCAACTTTATCTTCCTAGTTAATAAGTTTGATTTTGATAGTTTGAGATTTAAAAGCTTTAGATAATTAAATCAATTAAAACAAATAAAAGCTTGTGTTTAGTAGCTGTATAAAATATTTTATAATTATTTGGTATCGAAACACAAAACAAGAAATGAACAAAGAACCAAAGTTTAAGAAATCAGATTTCTAATAACTATATAATTGAGCTAAATATGTTGATAAAGTGTTTTTTTGTATCTATTATAGTCGATTAGGAGTTAGATCAAGATTCGAAATTCAAATTAACATCTATCTGCTTTCGACATTTTCTTGCATTCTTTTAAGTACAACCTAAATGTGTCATGTGATATCCGCTCTTGAGACTGTAGATGGTTGGTTCAAACCATGAGTCTTAAGATAAAAAATTAAACATACCACTCACCTAGAAAATTTTCCTAATTCTATTTTGGGTAAATTTTTTTTTCTTTATTCAATTTTAAAAGTTATTCTATATTCAAACTTTCAAACTAATAAATGTGATGAAGATAGGGTTGTTAATTGTTATATTTATTTATTTTTTACTTAAAGGATTTCATTGGAATATTCATTTACATTGTGGCTTAGTACTCTCAAATGCACATTATTTCTAAAGAATATATAAACTTATAATAAGATTGAGTTTTGTATAGGGGCTACGTGATAATATTTCAAACCTTTCTTAAAATATCATCCAATATAAGATAGTTATAGGCCAAACACACATGATTACAATCAAACAAGTTATTGAAAAATAAAATATATCTTGTTGTTATCGATAATGTATATAAATTAATTTAATATTTCTTCAACTATGTTTTTGTTTACTTGCACATGCTCGTCATATCTGTTGAGCGTTGAATTAAATTTTAAAGCTGAGTCGTTACTCTATAAATTATAGAATATAGATATGGAAGGATACGGACGAGAATATTCAGATAAGTTTGGAAAATAATTATAATAATAAATAAATTCATTAAGAAAGAAAAATGTTTTTTTTTTCTCCTTCCTTTTTTTGGGTTAAGAAAGGAATTGGGTGGTGGCTTTGGGAGGCCATGAAAGGTCAGAATTAGGAAAGGAAGGACAAAGGGCCAAAATGAATGATTAGTTGGTGGGTGCGCACGGCCGTACAGGATTGCAGCCCAAGATTCCTCTTTCCCTGTTTGGAATCTTGTGGTATATTCCTATTTTAATTTTTGACCAAAAATATTTTTTATAGTTAAGAAAACTTTTTAAATTTTAGTTTGTTAGGTTTCTTTTTTATAATAATTTAGTATCTAAATTTTACTATTCAACAATTTAATCTATATATTTAAAATTTAAAACAATTTAGTCAATACTATAAAAAAATCTCATCAAAATTGAGCGTGAATTTTTGTTATAAATGATTTAGTCTTTTGTAATATAAATACAGTCGGTTATTTATACTACAAACTTTAAACTACAAAATCTAAGTTGTTATGTATTAAAATTTAGAGACAAAATTTTTACTAATTCGAAAGTAGAATGATCAGATGGTGGTTGAAGCTCGAAGTAAAATCTTTACTTCAATGAGAGTACAAACAAGATTTTAAATGTTGGTATCCATAGAAAAAAATATTATAAAAATACTAATGAAAATATCTATTAGATGTAAGGTTGATGGATCTTTTTTAAAAAAATTAGATAAATAAAAAACCTATAACAAATATTTAAAATAACAACTAAATAGGTTAAATAAGTTAAAAATTATTAATATTAATATCATATTTATATTAGCATTATTTAGTTTATATTTTTTATATATTTTTTTCATACTGTGAAAATGTCAGTTCGGTTGTTTACATCAGCGTCGAATCCATAAATATATAAAAAAATATTGCGTGAATAGAAATTTAATACCTTTGGGATCAAAAGTGATTTTTTTTTTACCCAATAAGGACAAAATAATGGAGTATAAAAAGAGGGTTTTGAAGGCAGATGGCAGTGATCTTTATCTGAAAATAATGGTTGGGTTGGGTGGGGAAAAGCGTTACGTCACCGACAGCACATAGATTGGTGACGAAAACGGAATCCACTCGAATATTCACCATTTTATTAATTAATAAATTAATTCACCATTTTTTATTTTTTTATAACAAATATGAGACTAATTAATTAATTTTCACACTCAAACTTTTCAATCAATTTTTACTCTAAATTTTCTATTTCATTAAGTACGCTGAGATAAGTGTCACAATTGTCCATTTAAACATAAATTTATTGTAAATAAAATCAGCTTGGAGATTCAAATCCTTATATATTGTTTGTAGTAGATATTGCAACCTTTACTTTAAATATGAATAACTATAACAATATTTACCTACTAAATATTTCTTCAAATAAAATTTCATGTGTGATTTATAAAACATTGACCTAGTACAAACTTAAATCAACTGGTTGAGATATCTATATTTGACCAAAATGTTGTGAGGTCGAATGCTCACCGTAACATGTTGTTGCTTAAAAAAAATAATTGATGAAAATTTAAAATAAGTACGATAATAAAATTAGATTTTCTTAGAATAAAAACTATTGGTTTTAAGAGATAAATACAGTGGTGATTTTTATGTTTCTACCATTTCAATTTTATTCTTTATATAAAAAAGAAAAACCAAAATTTAACTCCATACTTATTTTTGAAGATTTATGATATGGGAGCTTTTTATGATATCACCTAGATATTAACATCATTATTCCTCTTGGCTCTTTCCATAATTGTGAAAGAAAAGAGCAATTTCATTTATTTTGAAATGCATTTCTACATCATTTAGCTCAGGAAAATTTAGAATATCCCACCAACTCTAACTTTATTAAAAACTTAACCTAATCTTTTCTTAAAAAAAAAAAAAACTTAACCTCATCTTATGCAATTTTTTTAACCAAATAAAGCGAGGTGAATATTCAGCATTTAAAAGTCAACTTATTAAAAAAGTTAGTAAAAATAAAACTAAAAAAGCAAGGCTAAAATACATATTTAAGTTTCTATTGATTAAATATATTTTTTTTAATTTAGTCAAAAATTTTATAAAATTTTCCTTTAGTCTATTATGTTTAATAAATATTTTTTAAAAATTATATTCTTCTTGTCGGTGAATAGTAAAAGTTGGCTAACACATAACATAATATTCACTAAAGTACAAAATTTTACTTGAATCAGACAAGTTAGAAATTTTACTCTCTTAAATGCCTAATTTTCTTCTAAATTTTTAAAACTCACCAAATATCATACCATAAACTAATTCCAAGATTCTAATAGAGATATAATTGAAAAAGGTAAAAATATAAAAAATAAATTGAGATTTTTTGAGTAATAACGACAAAGCTATACTTTTTTAAATATTGAGAATGAAATCAAAATTTAAAATTTAACCAAATAATAATAATAATAACAACAATAAATATATATGGAATTTTTATTATAAAATCAGATAACTACTGTTAAAATAGTTGGACTCTCGAAGAAGAAGAAAATAATAATAATAAAGAATTAAAAATGCTTGGGTTTGGCTTATTCAAAACTTCCATGAAAAAATATAGATTCGTTACACTACGCGACGCCCCGCCCTCGATATTTTACTCCAAGCGTTCTTCTAAATCGGCTGCCATAAATTCTCCGATCAATTTTACAAATCTCTCTCAAGCTTCTCTCTCTCTCCTCTGCGTGATTATGGAGCTTCGACTCCAAGTTTATTCCTTCCATTTTCCAACGATTCCATTTTAGATCCCATATTCCACTTTTCTCTCTCTCTCTCTAGACTCCAATTTTTTTCTGCTTCGATTTCCACAAGAAACAGAGCACTTCTGGGTACCATGATTCGCTCCGACAAAATCCAAGAAATTGCATCCAAAATGGGCTTCTCCCTCTCCGATTACGCCGAATCTCTCGAGCACGAGCGCCGGAAAGTTCTCATGTTCCAGCGCGAGCTCCCTCTCTGCTTGGACCTCGTCACCCAAGGTCCGGACCACCCGAACCGACCCGATTCTAACATTCTTCTTCTTCTTCTTCGTCTGATTTGGGGTTTTGGGTTTTGTGGCAGCCATTGATTATTGCAGGCAGCAGCTGTCGGAGACGGCGACGACGACGGAGAATCGCCAATCGGAGTGCTCCGACCAGACTTCCAGCGAGATGGGGATGGGGATGGGGCCTGTTCTGGAGGAGTTTATTCCGATAAACAAAAATGGGGTTTCTGATTTTGAACAGGAACAGGCACGGGAAATTGAAAAGGAGAAGAGTAGTGGGTCTGATCAAAACAATTTGGGTCCGTCGGATTGGCTCAGATCTGCTCAGCTTTGGAATCAATCCTCGGATCCTCCTCCCCTGAATCAGGTAATTTTTTTTTTCCTTTTCGCGGATTTTAGAAGTTGAAATTAGTCTCGTTGGAGTTTTTGGTGTTATTGGGTTTGGTGATGCAGGGCCCGCCGGAGAAGACGGCCGTCGTTGAGGTGAAGAGAAATGGGGGTGCTTTCCGGCCGTTTCAGAAGGAGAAGACGGGAGGAGGAGGAGGGGCGTCGTCGTCTTCTACTCCGGCGGCGGCGACGAGCTCGACGGCGGAGACGGAGTCCGGCGGTGGGAGCAGCAGACGGGAAGAGAAAGAGGCGCAGAATCAGAGGAAACAGAGACGGTGCTGGTCGCCGGAGCTGCACCGGCGGTTCCTTCACGCGCTTCAGCAGCTCGGCGGCTCCCACGGTAGGGATTTGGGAATTAGGCTTCGTTTTTGTGAATTTAAAAATTCAATTTCTTTTTTTTCTTCTGAAATAAGAAATTAGTTATTTATTTATTTACATAATTAAATTGGAATGGCAGTGGCCACACCGAAGCAAATCAGAGAGCTGATGAAGGTGGATGGTCTTACCAACGACGAAGTGAAAAGTCATTTACAGGTTTGTCTGTTTTTTTCTTTTTTTCTTTCAAAATTAAATTATATAAATTTTTTTTTCTATGTCCATAAATTTCTCACCAAATTCAAGTTTTTTTTTTCTCTAATAAAGAAAACAACTTATTTATTCACATATTCTTGTTGAATTTTCTTTTAAACTTGTAGTTTTGCTTTTGTCTAAAACAATGTGCTTTTTTTTCAACTTTAAAGGTATTTCTACTTTATTTTCATTTATTACAATCTCTAAAGGTATGATATTATATAAATATATGTAGTTTGACGTTTGGAGCGTATTGGTCCTCTTTATAATTATTTTGTTTTTGTCTTTTAAAAATATAAGAATTGAATCTCCAAATTTGATTGGAGAGAACTATTTCAACATAATTAATGATTCCATTAAAATTTCATATTACAAACTCATTTATTACCTTTTTCGAATTAAAAAACTAGTAATTATTATAAATTACTAAAATGTTATCAAAACTAAAGTAAAATGAGTGAATTTTAGCCTAACATTAAAAATTTGTCTGCAATCAAGTATATTTATTAATTACAGCTAATATGCAATTGATTAATTTCGACCATATTAATGATTAATCTGAATTAAAAATCTCTTTTCTTTTTTTAATTCTTCTATAGGCGCTTTCTCTTGACTTTCGATTGAATCTCAAGTTTTTCTTTTCCTTTATTAATTAAAAATGTAATACTAAATTTATATTCGGAAATGTTTAGAAATAAAAGGCAGAAATGTACCTGAGAAAAACAAAAAAAGGGTATAAATCTTGTATTTTCCACATTTTTTTAGTTGTGAAAATCGTTCTGTCAAATTGATTTTTTTAATAAAAAAAAAGAAAATTCCTTGAGCTAATTTTATTTTGTATTAATTTGTTCAGAAATATCGTCTGCACACGAGACGGCCGAGTCCGACGATTCACAACAGCGAGAGCGCCCAGGCGCCGCAGTTCCTGGTGGTCGGCGGCATATGGGTCCCGGCGGCGGAGTACGCCGCCGTGGCCACCACCACTTCATCCGGAGAAGCGGTCAGCGTCGCCGCCACAAGTAATGGAATTTATGCACCGGTGGTGGCCGCCGCGCCGCCGCAGCCATTGGCCAATACAGTACAAAGACCGAAGGCGAAACTTTGCTGCGGTCAATCGCCGTCCGCCGCCGTCGCCGCCGCCGCCGCCCAATGTAATTCTCCTGCTACATCTTCCTCCACCCACACGTCTTCGCCTTCACCTGCTTCTCGAGCCTTGTAATTCGTTTTTTTTGTTTTTTTGTTTTTTTTTTTTAAATTTCTACAGTTTTGTTTTGATGTGTAAAAGTTTTGGTACAGAACCTCCATTTCCATAGCCCACAGAAACTTATAAGAACATGCCGGAATCCGCTTATCTTTCTCTTAATTTCATTTTCTGCTTAATGCCGGAACAAATTAAATAAATGGACAACATAATTACAATTTGACTCATACTTCTAGTTATGTTTAGTACAACAAATTTGGGAGGCTTTAATTTAAATCTCCTACTTCGCGGTTAAGTTAATTAATCTTGATAATAATTATTAAATTTAACCTGTTAATTTTTTTATATATAATTATAAATTTTTAAGTATTTTGTCTATATATATATAAAATACTTAAAATTTTGCTATTATTGATGAACAATTTAATTACGGTTTTCCATATTTAGTTTCAAAGTACTTGTTAATTTCCCAATAATGCAATCCTAATTAATGTAGAAAAAAGCATCAATTTTGTATAAAAGAGAATCTATTATCTACCCGACCATCTTATGTTGATGAATAAATCATCCATCAACTGCATACACATGTAGCTAAAATTATACACCAAATGCCAAAGCAAGTATCGTTAAGTGGTAATTGACATATATCTCAAATCAAGAGGTTGTGAGTCTGAATCTCCTTCCAACATGTGTTATTAAAAAAAATTATACACCAAATAAATAGTTAGAAAAAGAAAAATGAAGTCCTTCGAAACTAAAAGGTTGCAGGTCCCACATAATCGTTCTAGCTATTAATCCATGGTTGAGTTTGTTAGGTGGTTACAAACAGTTTGACATCTTACCTCGACGTATAGCTTTATTCTTCGAACAACAGTGGTTTGATCGAGCTACCAGGTCATCGTAGGTCACTGCATAAGTCGGCTACTGAACATTTTTGATGAAGAAAAGTTTGGCGATCCGATTTTTCCTTTCTAAGTGAAATGTTGTATTTTGTCATCCAACACTAACGTTCCCGAAAAATAGAAATAGATATTTATATTTATGGAAAAACACCATTTTAGGAATGATGGGAGGAAATTTGAATTTACAATCCATATAAAATAAGAAATTAATATTTTATTATTATATTGAATAGCCCAGATAAAAACATATATGTAAAAGTCGAACTATATCGTGATTCATTCCTACAATCATTACTAAAGTAATTACAAACGCAGTAATTTTTTCAAAGTCTATCTCACTTTAATTTCATTCTTTTTAGTAAGTGCACATGATTAGTATAGATATATAGTTTCAAATTTTGATTAACTGAATAATATGATACAAAATTAAATTAAGTATTTATGAAAAATGTTTAATTATAAAAATCAAACAATAACTAAAACTTTTTGATCAGTATCCAAAATGGTATGATATTGTTTGTTTTGGACATAACCCTCACAATTTTGCTTTTAGTTTCATCCAAAAGGTTGTTAAGGATTCCACATTGAAAAGAGAGGGAATCTAACCATGGTTTATAATAGACGTAGGTTACTCATCTCATTACCAATTGGTTTTAAGATGAAATCCCATGAATATTAATATGGCATCATAGTCCAAAATGCTGAAATGAACATTCGATCCAAAAATTGGGACTCGACCAAGATCGATGGTCGAAGAGACTTTATAGGGAGAGATACAACCCCAAGAGACAAAAGTCATCAACAACTAATATAATTAATAATAAAAAACTCAGAATTAAAGAGAAGAACAGATCCAGCACTGTTCAAAATTTTTAATTTTTATTTTCTCCCAAAAAAATGTAAATTTTATGGTATAATTAATGATTAGACCAAAGTTAGAGTGGTTCACAAGATGAATGTCAATTAAGCAATTTCATTGCATCTTTACTTTAAAGAATTCTACCTATTGAACTCAACCCAAAAAAGATTAAAATATATTATAACTTATCAATTTAAAACTTTTGGGTTCTGGTTTTATAATAGTTTAACATGGTATTTTTTTTTTTCAAAATATTATATATATATAATCTTCCATGGTTGAATGTTCTTTCCTGTGTTCATGGATAACTATTAATATATTTTAAGTAACTTGATTTAAATGGGTTATATTTAAATTAAAAACGGTTAGATGCAACAAAATGACCTTCCATGTGTTAGAAGAAGAGAGGTTATTGAAAGCCGAGGTATAACTCCTCATACTTCAATACCGAAGAATAATACTTCAGAAACTTCACTTAGGTACTAGCCTTAGCAAAATCCGAGCCGAGGTATATGATGAAACCACTCTTAACTGCCCATCCATCACTGTAAAAGTATAATTGGGTATCTTGCGATCGTGATAATCCATTTATCCACGTCTATAAATACAGAGATAAAACTCCATATGCACATGCGCTATTTTGACTGCTCACCTTCGTGGGAGTCCTTTTCTTTCTCTATGTATGTTCTTTTTGCATTTCTTCTAAGTATGTGGTTGGTATTTTTTTGGAATCATAATTGGGATCATAACACAAAACCTAGACAACAATATTTAGAAAAGTACATCTAAACCATCTCTAATATTTTTTTAAATGAACATTAAATAAAAAAAATTAAAGAGGGAAATAATATTGCAGTTCAAATATAGGACTTCCTACTTTAGGTAGTCAAAATTAATAAAAATTATTCTGTTACGTGTTGGGTGTCTAAGCAATCCGAATTCTTTTGTTGCAATTAATAATACGTCTTCTACAAGCCTTCTTTTTGTTTGTTTTATTCTAATATATATATATATATATATATATATATATATATAAGGGGCTCTTATCTGCAATATAATTGAAAGGTTAGATTCTTAAGCAAAAAATCAATATCAAGAAAACTTAATGAATTTGTGTTTAACATTTAAAAAAAAAACAAATATCCATACTCTTTTGAAATACACATGTGACTTTAAAAATTGTATTTATTGCATGGTGAGTGAGAGAATGGATCATGAATTAATTTAAATTATCCCATTTTTGATGTGATTGAATTATTTTGATATTTGATTTTTTTAAGAAAATAATTAAAGTGTCTTGATGAAGAAATTTGAATCAAGTTTGAGATGAGCTTTGAACAAGATTAATTATCAAGTCTTTATAAACTTTTGTGAATCGGAAAAAATCCAAATATATCACTAAAAAAATTGATCTTCTTTTGATTGAATAAATCAAAATTGAGAGTCATACAAATCTATAAGATGTGTAGCTATATAATTCTTTTTTTTTTTTTAAATATAGCTATGATTATAGATTTTTAGAAATTTAAAATTTGAGTCTAGTAATAGTTTTCTATTTAATAATTACGACGCGTTATTTGGTGACCGGATAGGCTAATGTTTGAAGTTACGATCAAACCAATGTGAACATAAGATATTAGTTATAATATTTTTTATAACTCGATGTGTGTGATTAACTAAATCATAGTGGATTAGATTACATTTATGATCCCTATATTTTAATCTCAATTTCATTTGATGTTTATATTTCTAGAAGTTTAAAAAGTAATTGATGTATTAAAAGTAAACAAAACTAAACGTGTCAAAGATGAGTAATTTCGATCGAATACTATAGAAAAAGTCTTTGGCCATATCAACCTCAGTTTCTATTTTTTAACCAATTTAATGTCGTAAAACTCAACTTCAATTTGTATTTTTTTGAACTACCTAAATCTCCACATGATCACAACCCAAAAATTTACGTTGGAAAGTTCATCGTCATGTCTATAAATAAATTTACGTTGGAAATGCATTATATTTCAATTATCCCTCACTAATAATATAAAGATATTCTAATAATATAAAGATATTTGAAGCTTTAATCAAATGATAGGGACGATATATAACGAAACTCTTAAAATTACATGGTGTAAATAGAAAAATAGAAGTAATATCCTTGTGGTTTGAGACATGCAACTTGGTCTTCATAATGTACTTAAAGAAAATGAAACAAGCATATACATATATATTTTTTTCTCACTTGGATTTCTCCATTAATATAACATAATGATAGATAGAAGGCATGACACTCACATGTGGGAAGATATATTAGATCTCTATTTCATTAAAATAATAGAATTAAATCTATGACGATCTCAAACATTTGAATTTACAACTTATTCTCGTTAAAAGAAATATTGACTTCATTATTATTATTATTTTGAGTTGAGCAATTGCGGAGTAAGAGATTAAGTCATCGATCTTAAAAATAGCCATATGTGTCTTATCGACAAAAAAAAAAAAAAAAAAGAACTAGAGGGAAATCCAAATTACTTCAACATTATTTATATTTATCCCAAAAAACAATGGTACCTAACTTTTTTTTTCCTAATATTACAAATCCAAAGTGACATCTAAATGCTATATGAATTATGAGTGTTGCATATGTATTAATTAGAGGGAAAAGAATATATGATTTTTAGGGCTTTTGGGCATTTGAGACTAATATCATAGATCATATGTATATCACTGAATACCTAATATTATCTACTCAAGTGGGAAATCTTCTCACTTTAGACTTTTTGTGTCCTTACATTAACCACTAAATTTGGTCACCCTCCAAAGGTCAGACTCAACAATATCTAACATAGCCCTTCATTTTGGGTTTATGTAGCATTTCTAAGGAGAAAGTTTCATCTCAAAATAAATTGGTAATGAGCCGTGTATCTAACTCCATGAATATTAATATGATATAAGAGTTCAACAAGTTCAAATGAGCATCCGGTCTAAAAATGGAATCCGACAAAGATCGATGAGCTAAAAGAGTTACGATCTTGGTTACTCCTCTTGTTGCCAATTGATTTTCAATTGATTTTGAAATGAAATCTCATGAATATTAATATATTCCACGAAATTAAATCTACCTCTTTCAATGGAGCTTCTTTAGAATATTCCAATCCTTTTTTGGACAAAGATGAAATATGCTTCGACCCGCATTGAACGCCGGGCCGCTTGTTGAAGATAAAAGTACATCGAACCCATATGAAGTTTTACCATGAGCAGATTGAATCCATTGGGCAAATATGGGTTCGATTAAGATTTGTTTCTCCGGAGTACCAAAAGCAAGCATGACATCATTATGAACATAAAGCCCCAAAGTATGGAACCCCAGAAAAAGGCTGGCCCAACTTAAATGG